CTGTCAGATTAGCAGTTCAAGTGGGAACTCAGACTGGGTATTACATTGATTATAATTACTCTACCACGTTTAAGGTATGTATATGAGATATCCACTTTGGGTGGAGGCGCAAGGCCTTAAGTATCCATCCAAAGTTCTGGTGGAGGCGTAAGGCCTTAAGTATCCATCAGAGTGTGCACATGGCAGACATAGCGTCCGAGACAGTTCAATTACAGACCTTGAGTCTGGAGTTTACAGTTTACTTATATATACCTGCAGTCATGATATTGACATTATTATTGATGTTTACTTTAGTATGAGTTTCTGCGGAGCACAGTGGCTTTAGTGCTCACGCTCCCACTATCATTATCTTTTTCAAGTGATAGGGTCGGTCCAGAGGAGTGAACAAGGCAGGTGGTCGGTGATCCAGTAAATATGTTTTTGCAGACTGATGATATGTATATATTATTTTGCCACGATTTTACTTCTGCTGACGTTTTCAGACTTTTGAAACTCGCAAGTTAGTTTTTCAGTTTTGATCCGATTTTCTGGTCGGATTTATACAGTATTACATGCCGGTTTGATTAAGATAATCCGTTTTTCTAAATAGTTTAAATTAGTCAAATTAACGGATTTTTAGAAAAGAAATGTTTTTTCGTAGCATCCCGAGTCACGATTTCGCAAACTAATAAGTATTTTTAGAAAAGAATATGCGAAAATTTAACTCTGATTTTAATAAGCTAGCGGGGTGTTACAAATGGTATCAGAGCACGTTTTTGTGTATCTGAATACATTATTAAGTTAAGAAACTTCTAGAAAAACCGACCATGCTACACTCACGCCTCGCCGACTAACAGGTAAGTGCTGAGTTACAGTTTATATATATTTAAACGAATGCTTAAGTCTATGCTCAGTAGAGGGTATCAGATATTTAACCCTAGAAACCAGTAAGATGCTCGAGTTAGTGATGCAGTACTTTCAGAACATAGTCGATTGTCCTAGTGACTTGATAGTTCGACTCTAGTTTTCTCGGGTTAATTTTAGCAACTCGTCAAGAGATTTGTGTGCATTCATAGTCAGTTAAAGTATTTGATCATGTTATAATCTTGCGTCTGATTATATTGATCTTTTCAATACTCAGATGCCGCCTCGTAGAGAACCAGATCATCAGGAGCTCCCTCAGGCCACAGTAGTCGCACATATCCGCGACTACCATCCAGAAAAGTTTTCCGGCCAAAGAGATCCTCGTATAGTAGACGAATGGGTTCAGGGCCTTGAAATGATTTTCGAGGTCATAGACTGTCCTGATCGCTATCACGTGTTATGCGCACAAATCCAGCTTACCGGTGATGCCCGACTCTGGTGGAATGCCTATTGGAGTATGCGTCCCGGCGAGAAAGAAGGTTGTACATGGGACCAATTCAAGGAGTTGATTCGTGGGAAATACTATCCCTCGTACTACCGAGCAGATATGGAGCGCCAGTTCCTGGCACTCAGACAAGGTACTCGTTCCGTTGACGAGTACGAGAGAGAGTTTACCCGACTTGGAGCCTTTGTACCCGATCTTGTGAGTACAGAGGTGAAGAGAGCCCTTCGTTTTACCGACGGACTTCTCCCAGCAGTCCGTCGTAACATCGTAGGTCATGGCATCCAGACCTACGCCCGCACCGTCGCCATTGCCCAGGAGATAGATGCCAGTATCCGACGAGAAGCTCATCCAACTTCAGCCCAGCCAGTTGCTCAACCACTTGCCCAGCCTAACGTTACCCAGCCATCAAAGAACCAGAAGAAGAGAAAGTTCAGAGGGGGCCCAGACGACTGGAGGACTCACCCCAGACAAATACCAGCCTGCCCGACATGTGGAAAGCGCCACCGTGGAGAATGCCTTGTAGGCCAGAACATCTGTTTCTTCTGTCGCCAGCCCGACCATATCAGCCCCAACTGCCCAGAACGACTGCAACAACAACCGCAACAACGAGAGCCACCGCAGCAACCTCAACAGCAGCAGCTCAGGCAGCAGCCACCATGACCCCAACAACAGCCACGTGGCAGACAGCAAGCCCATGTCTTTGCAGTTGACCAGAGAGAGGCCGATCAGCACCCAGGTACCATGTCTGGGATGATTGTTCTTAATGATGTGCCTGTTTATGCCTTGTTTGACACCGGAGCGACCCATTCTTTTATATCACGCCGATGTCTTGAAGTTATAGAAGTTCCTTCTCTTACCACTTTTGATCCTCTCGAGGTGAGTTTAGCCTCGGGAAGAAAGATAGTGACTGATGTTAGAGCCACCGATCTCAGCCTTTCCATCGGCAGCCGTATTTTGACTACTGATGCTTATGTTATTGAGATGAGGGATTTTGACCTCATACTCGGTATGGATTGGCTAACACGTTTTCACGCAGATATCCGATGTCATGACCGGGAGATTACTCTTTATCTTTCGGGAGATGATCAGATTACTTATTTCGGCTCCAGGACTCGTACTCTGCCCCATATTATTTCTATGGCGAAAGCCAGGAGGATTCTTCGACGGGGTGATTGCCAGGGTTACATTGTGAGCCTCATCGGAGATGAGCCAAAAGCACGATCACCTCGTGATATTCCTATTGTTCGTGAGTTCGTGGACGTGTTCCCAGACCAACTTCCGGACGGTCCACCTAACCGACAGGTGGAATTTTCTATCGATCTTATCCCTGGAGCCGGACTCGTTTCTAAGGCGCAGTATAGAATGGCACCTAAAGAATTGCATTAATTAAAGACCCAAATTCAAGAGTTGTTGAATCTCGGTTTTATTCGACCGAGCGTCTCACCTTGGGGAGCACCCGTTTTCTTTGTCAGGAAGAAGGACGGATCCATGCGTATGTGTATCGACTACTGAGATATTAACCGTTTGACGATCAAGAATAAATATCCGCTTCCCAGGATCGATGATTTATTTGATCAGTTGAGGGGTGCCTGTGTATTTTCCAAGATCGATTTACGTTCAGGCTACCCTCAGCTGAAAATCAAGGAGTCAGACATACCTAAGACAGCGTTTCGTACGAGATACGGTCACTTCGAGTTCGTGGTTATGCCGTTTGGCCTCAGCAATGCCCCGACAGTATTCATGGACTTGATGAACCGTATGTTTCATCCTTTTCTTGATCAGTTCGTTATTGTATTCATTGATGATATCCTTATCTATTCCAAGAGCCAGAAGGAGCATGAAGAGCACCTGAGGGTCGTTCTTGAGACCCTTAGACGTGAAAAGTTATATGCGAAGTTCTCTAAATGCGAATTTTGGCTTCAGCGAGTGGCTTTTCTTGGCCACATTATTACTCAAGCAGGTATTGAAGTAGATCCTTCCAAAATTGCCGCAGTCCAGAACTGGTCAGCACCGAAGAATCCGTCCGAGGTTCGTAGTTTCCTCGGCCTTGCAGGTTATTATCGCAGATTTATTGAGGGGTTCTCGAAAATTGCCCTCCCTTTGTCGCAGTTGACGAGGAAGTCTGTGAAGTTTCAATGGACAGACCGTTGTGAGTCGAGTTTTCAGGAGCTGAAAAAGGAGGCTTACGACGGCACCAGTGTTGACTATTCCAGATCCTTCTCGGAGTTTCACCATCTATAGTGATGGTTCGAGGCGGGGTTTGGGGTGTGTACTTATGCAGGACGGCCAGGTTGTAGCTTACGCTTCACGTCAGTTGTAGCCCCATGAGCAGAACTATCCTACCCACGACCTGGAATTAGCTGTAGTGGTACATGCACTCAAGATATGGCGGCATTATCTTTATGGTGGTCGATGCGAGATTTACACCGGTCACAAGAATCTGAAGTATATTTTCACGCAAAAAGAGCTCAACATGTGTCAGCGACGTTGGTTAGAGCTTGTTAAAGATTATGACTGCACGATTTAGTATCATCCAGGGAAAGCAAATGTTGTAGCTGATGCCCTGAGCCGAAAGGTAAGGGGCGAATTGTCTTGTTCTATTACTCAGCAGTGTCATCTTGTTCGAGACTTTGCCCGGATGTAGACTCAAGTCGTCGAGTCACTTCCAGCAGTGATTACAGGGAGTGTTAGCTCGATGCAAATTCAGCCTACGTTGAGGGACAGAATCCGGCAGGAGCAGGCTCACGATTAGTTTATTCGTGCTATTGAGGCCAAGGTTTCCACCGGAGGATTCGAGGGTTTTTCCCAAGGTGCAGATGGCACCTTGGAGTTCCGAGGCAGGATTGTAGTGTCGAAGGTCGAGGCCTTGCAGAAGGATATCTTGACGGAGGCACACACAGCGCCTTATTTAGCTTACCCCGGCAGCACCAAGATGTATCACGACCTAAAAAGGTCATTCTGGTGGAGGGGAATGAAGAAGGATGTTGCCAGTTTCGTAAAGAGGTGTTTGGTCTGTCAGCAAGATAAGGCCGAGCACAAGAGTCCCTTAGGCCTTCTGCAACCACTCGAGATTCCAAAGTGGAAGTGGGAGGAGATTGCAATGGATTTCGTTACAGGGTTACCGAGGTCGTCTGAACATCACGACGCTATCTGGGTCGTGCTCGACAGATTGACTAAGGTTGCTCACTTCTTACCTGTATCAATGACCATGTCGATGGCGAAGTTAGCCGAGATTTATACCCGTGGGATCGTTCGACTCCACGGAGTGCCCGTTCATATTGTGTCAGATCGAGATCCTAGATTCACTAGCAGATTCTGGGAGAGTTTACACGAAGTGATGGGCACGCAGTTACAGTTCAGTTTGGCTTACCATCAAGAGACAGACGGTCAGACAGAAAGGACTATTCAGACGCTCGAAGATATGCTCAGAGCGTTAGTTTTCGACAGAGGTGCTAAGTGAGAGTCGTTTCTATCACTAGTTGAGTTCGTCTATAACAATAGTTATCAGGCGTCGATCCAGATGGCTCCTTTCTTGGCACTTTATGGGCGTAAATGCCGCTCGCCCCTTTATTGGGACGATGTTGGCGAACGTCGAGTACTCGGTCTGAAAATGATCGAGGAGACAGCTGAGCAAGTCGAGCTTATCAGACAGAGACTTAGAACAGCACAGAGTCGGCAGAAGTCATCGGCCGACAAGCACAGACGGGATATCCAGTTCGAAGTCGGAGAACGAGCCTTCCTGAGAGTTCGTCCGTTCCGAGGGATCATTCAATTTGGGAAGAAAGAAAAGTTACATCCTCGATTTATCGGCCCATTCGAAGTTCTCGAATGAGTGGGCGAAGTAGCCTATCGTCTAGCTCTGCCTCCTAAGTTGTCTAATGTACATAATGTCTTTCATGTGTCTATGTTACGTAAATACATGTGCGATCCAGATCATGTTCTTCAGTATACTGATATTCAGCTTCAGCCATATTTGTCGTACGAGGAGTATCCGGTAGCAGTTTTGGACCGTGAGGTTCAGCGGCTCCAGAGACGAGACATTCCCCTCGTACGCATTAGATGGAACCGCCGCGGAGAATCAGATGCTACTTGGGAGCGTGAAGCAGACATTAGAGCTCATTTTCCCGACTTTGAGTTTTGATGTATATATACCTTCTTGTATTCTGTATATATGTTTAGTTTGATATTTCCGGGGACGGAAATATTTTAAGGAGGGTAGATTGTAATAGCCCAGTTTCTTGTTAATAAAAGTGATGTATTTTCTTTTATTTAATCCCGTTCATTTTCAGCGTTTAAGTGAATAAGTTCGACTTTAAGATGAAAAGTTTATTCGGTTAATTATTAACTGAGTCAAGTTTGATAATTAATTTCCGAATCGTTTATTTTATAAACGGACATTATTAATCGGGATTAATAATTCAAAGTTAAGAATGTTCGGATTTAATTCCAAAATCAAGTCCATGACTATGTCTCGGAAGTGCATGAATGTACACTAGGTACACATGCACGCACGCGTCATTGTGCATGACCGTGGATGTGCGCGCGCAAGGTGCGTAGTGCGCCCCATTAAGCCCCCTAAGCACATGCTTATGCTACACTAAGTACCATGATCAAGTTAAGCAAATCCAAATCCATCTCCTTAGAATTGCCGTGAGGAATTTTCAAAGGGATAAGTCATGGTGTGCAAGTTGTGTGGTGAGTCACCTACTAGCTTGCACACATGGCGTTACACGAGCTCACGGGTGATGACTAAGCCCGTTCATGCACGACACCTCGGCAATGACTAAGCCAAACTCGTTCCACCTCAGCCCTTGACCGAGACACATGTCATCAAGAGGAGAATTCATCATTCATCACCCCTTTGACCCCAAATTTACCATCGGTTTTTACCTTCCATAAATAACCAAACGTGTGGGTTTTTC